AAGATGTATGCAACTCAGATGTATTTAGAACTAGGTTTTTAATTGCAAAATTAATTCTTTGTATGGGGAAAACTTTTTTTCAACCACCACAAAAGGGCGGTTTTGAAAAATGAAAAAAAATAAAGTCTTTTTGTCTTCTTAGATTCCCTGTCCTCTGGGCTCCTTCCCCAAAGAAAGGCACAGTTCCTCCAGGAGCAGCCTGTGCTTCTGCAAGCACAGAAAAGGAGGTATCCTTGATAACTTATTCACCTTCTCTGGGCTTCAGCATCCTCATCCTTAGAATGATGAGGCTGGGCTCAGCATTCCCCAAACTTCCCTACAGGTAAGAATCACTTGGGAGGACTTATTCCATATCTGGTTTCCCAGACCATAAACCCTGGGATTTCAATTTAGTGGGACTGCAATGAGATCCAAGAATTTGTATTATTGGAAGACTCCCTCGGTGGTTTTTATCATTGGAAAGTTAGGGGAAACACTCACTGGATTTACAGAGTCTCTAATATTTAAATCTTTTTTCAAGTGCCTAGAGTATTCTGTCCTTTAGAAGTCATAAAGTGATATTATTTTGTAGAGATATGAGTTTTTAAGTAATGAAGAAGAAAAACAAGGGCTTTCATGGCAGCACATTAAAAATTTCAAAAAACATCCTCTGGGCTCTTTGTCAACAAAACTGGTAGATGCTGGCTCCTCTCCTTGTCTTGCTGAGTAGCCTTCTTGCTCTCTCCTTGGGGTCAGGGCAAACAATGAAGCAGCAACATTTGTCCCTTGCCTCCCTTGCATACCTCACTATGATGCTCCATGCTGCCCACCCCTATCCAGATACCTCCATTTTAATGCTCTCTTCAGCCTTGAACTTCCCCTTTCTCTCCAAAAAAAAAAAAAATGCATTCCCTTCCTTTGGCTCATTTTCCAAATTGTGATAAGAATGAGTATTGGTTAGAATAATGGCCAATACTCACGGAGTGCTTGCAATGAGCCCAGCACTGATCAAGATGCTTTCTGTCTAGGTGGCTGCCAAGCCCTACCAATAACCCCCTGCTGTAGATACCACTTTTATCTTCTCTACTTATAGAGGAGAAAAATGAAGTGCAGAAATTGTAGCTGAGGTGACACAGCAGTGAGTGACAAAGCTAAGAATGAAAGCCAGATGGGTCCAGCTTCAGAGTCTACACGCTTATTCACCAGGCCATACTCCTCTTGGTATAGAGTAGCTTTTATGTTATTTTTCCTGGCTGACATGTTTGTTTTTAAACAAGGCCTTTCAGGATACCAGGCCTTGACTCCAAGGTATGACTAAAGGAGACTAGAAACATTTTCGGTGGGTTTAAAGGCAGGCTTTCTCAGGCTAGCTCCACCTTGTGGTTAATGGTCTACCAAATAACATTTCCTCATTTGCCCTCAGACGCTGTTGTGGTTCCTAGAAATGACCCCTGCACTACAAGTTCCTGAATCATCAAAGAGAGATTAAACTGTGCATAGCTTTGTTCATTCACTAAATAAGAGAACTTATGACCAGGCACCCTGCCTTCATCAAGCTGTAGTTTTATGGGAGAAACATATGTTAAAGAACAAAATTCAACTGAGTAAATTTGAAGATCTAATTGGCTTTATTAAACGATTCATGAATCAGGTAAGCTTCCCATCTAGCAACTAGAAGGGTACTCCCATGAGTTGTACAAAATGGAAGGTTTGTATAGGCCGAAAGAGGATGGAGCTAAGAAGGTAAAAAAGTGGATTATTTCAGACAAGATCACGTTCCCTATCTATGGCCACGCTACCCCGAACAAGTCTGATCCCATCAGATCTAAGCTAAGCAGGGTCGGAAGCTAAGCAGGGTTGGGCCTGGTTAGTACTTGGATGAGAGACCACCTAGGAAGACCAGGTGCTGTAGGTGTAAAAAATTTAAAAAAAAAGAAATTGTAAGCTGACAATCTGTGAGGTCAACCAAGGGTTGCCTCGCCTAAAAAAAAAAAAAAAAAAAAAAAGATCACCTTCCCTTAGGAGAAAACAAGGGGTCTTAAGCAGGAAATTCCAGACTGATTGATTTAAAATTTCACACCTGAGAGTGGCAGAAACTGCAATTAGATTAGTTATTGAGTTTTGTTTTGGCAATGTGGCTCAGCAAGAGTGACTCCATTTTGGACTGTTTTTTCTTTCTTTTCTTTTTTTAACATACATGTAAATCAAATAATCACGCAATAACTAAAAGATTGCAACTGTGACAAAGGCAACGAAGGGGAGATGCCTTGTGCTTTGAGAATATAATAAAGGTCTGATCGATTGAGGGGGTCAGGGAAGGCTGAGGAGTTGACTGAAAGGAGATCTTGAAGCATGAAAGTCAGCTAGGTGAAGAGAGGAAGAACATTCTAGGAGGGAGAACATGCAAATCCCCATGGTGAGAGGGAGCATGGTAAACAGGAAGCCAAGGTAGCTGAAAAAGAGAGAGTAAGGAGGAAGAGGCTGAAAAGGCAGGTAGACCAGACCACACAGGGCTTGTGAGCCATACCGATGAGTTTGCTTTTTCCTAAGAAGGAGGGAAAGCACAGAGAGTGTGATCAGGTTCGCATTTTGAACCTGTTACTCTAGCTAAAGTGTAGAGAATGACTATTAAGTATAGTTGTTTTTTTCTTTTTGTATTCTGATGCCAACCATTTCTGGATATGAAGGATGACAGATATTATAATTGGCTGCTTCCAGTCAAGTCTCCCACCTTTTGCTGTTGATCCGAAGGATTGCACATTGTGTGTTGCCTAGACTGGGTATACTCTGGGACATAAACCCTTCTAGGGCTGAGCCACTTACTTTTTGGTTTTAGGTAAGTGACCTGCACAATGCATTCACTTACTAGAAGGTAGATTTTAAAAAGATTTGCAATCATCTAGCCTAGTTCTTTTTATATAAATATCTTGTGCTTGTTGTTTTATAGAACTGCTAGCTCATTTAACCTCCGCCGCAGTCCTATGAGAAAGATATTGTTATTCCTGTCATACAGGTTCAAAAAGTTTAAATAATGTGCCTAGATCATTCCACTACTAAATGTCCGGGAAAAGGACCCAAGTCTTCATTCCAAATTCATTCCAAAACTCTCTCCTTAAATAAGCCCAAGTGAGGGGTGAGTCGAGGCCCTTCCTACTGATTCCCTCTTTGAGTAGTGTAAACAATTTTCACTACTGCCACACCTACTCTGACCTCTAGGAAACAGTTACCAAATAAAAGAGGCACACCTCCCTCTTTCTAGTTATCTGCTTGCTTGTTGGGGTGTGTCAGCAGCCCTCTTCCATCCTTTAGGTCTGCCGAGCAACCACGCATAAAATTGGCCTAAAAAGAATCTTCTTTGGCAAGTGCTTAACACCTGTCTTTCTCCAGTTTTATTCAAATAGCCTAGTAACTAATAATGCAAATTTATCAAAGCAGTTACAGTCAGCGCCTTGAAGGTTAGATTGCTCCATGAAGTTTAAGGCAAATTACCTTTAAAATGCAGTTCTAACATCCTATGTGTTAGAGAATTTTGTTTTTCCTAGCAACACACTTGGAGCACAGATAACTTTTTCCTGGGGAAATATCAGTATTCCCAAAAACAATGACATTGATTTTTCTTAAATGTTCTACAGTTTCTTTTTTAAAAAACGAGTAAGAGGATAAATTAGACAGATTCTTAGAAGCTGTACCTTTGTAGGAGGTGTGGGGGAGCAGGGTTGGCACAAACAGGAATAGAGGTATTGTTTCTGCTCTGGCATAAGAAGGTGGGATAAAGGCCTAAGCTTCATGAGTGAGTTCTGATTCACCCTTTGCATTTCTTTTTAATGCTCATAGCCAACACTGAGCAGAAACCAGGAGCAGAGGGCCTAGGGGATGGCCACAGAGAAAGTGAGGAAGAGATGAAATGGAGCACTTACACTTTGATGGAAGGCAGGAAAGAGATAATAGTGGAGAAATTAGTCAACCGGAAGAGGGACTCCAAGAGAAAAGGGAATGGTTGGAAACAACTGGAAATTAAAGAGAAAACTGTGAGAAAGCAGAAAGAAGAAAGAAATGCTTGCATAGAGGACAGTATCCTTCTGTCACTACCGTGAAAGATCTGGCACCCTCACGGACCCTTCTGACCCCATCTCATCACTCTGACTCCAGTCAGACTAACTTCCCTGCTGCCCTTGAGTAACTCCTGCTTTGACTCTCAACTTGCTGTCCCTCCCCCACTTACCTACAGAGTTTGTTCCTCACTTTCTTCAGGGTTCTACTCAAGTGGTCCCCCTATCCACACCCTACATAAAATAGTACTGCCCCCCACTCTCTATCATCTTTACCCTGCTTTACCCTTAAACTGCCATCACCACCCAACATACTATTTACCTGGCTATTGTCGAACACCCTTCCCCCTTTCCCACAAGCTAAATTCCATGTGAGCGTGGATTTTGTTTGGCTCACTTCTCTATCTCCAGTACCTAGCCTAACACTTTGTGGGGGCTCAAGATACGATGAATGACTTCAAGGAGTGAATGCAGGTAGGGGAGAGGGGACAGGAAGAGGTGTGTTCGGGGGCGACATTTGGGGGCGTGCTTCCAATCCAACATAATAGCACACTTGCCATTCTTCTCCTCTCCGACTTTCCCTCCCCTATTTAGAGGCTAGGAACAAGAAGCGGCAATGTGAGAAATAAGGAAGAATCCAAATTAGTCCAGCTCTAATTTGATGAAAGTGCATAGGAGACAAGGACCGAAAAGTAGAGAATAAATGCACACGCACAAGTGAAAGAAGAACGAAAAGTAAGAAGAAAAGGCTAACAGACGTCACTCTTGGGTCACTCTCCGTTGGGCGAGGCGCTCTATCGCCAGGCTTGCGCTCGCCGTCACTACTACTTCGGAGCAGGCGAGGCCTGCCTCCCTCCGCGGGCGCCCCCTAGTCTTCTCCGCCGGCGCCCCCTAGTCTCCTCCGCGGAGGCCCCGGCTCGCGCACGAGGTAGCCAGGAAGGCGGCGCGGACTACAGCTCCCAGGGTGCCGAGCGCGGGGGGCGCCTGCGCAGTGCGGCGGGAGGCGGCGGTCTGTTCTCCGCTGAGGAGGAGCGGGGCAGAGGAGGGAGGCAGCGGGTGAGAGTTCAGAGTTCAGCAGCAGCAGCCCGAGCCCATGATTCCCATATGCCCTGTAGTTTCTTTCACCTATGGTGAGTATAATGTGCCCCCATCGAGGTCCCTGCCCGGCTTATTCCCTGGCCCGGGGCAGCGGGGAGGTGCGGGGGTTGGGGCTGGCTCCGGGGAGGAGGCGGCGGCCGCCACCCGGGCGTGCGAGTGAGTGAGGGAGTGCGAGGCGGGAGGGGGAGACGCCGCGGCCCCGGCCGGGGAGGGCGGCTTCTCACAGCGCCTTTTTCTCTCCCTTTCCCTCTCTCGGTGTCTCTGCTCCTCCGCGCGTCTCCTCCCGCCATGGGACCCGATTCTCCATGCCCGCCGCAGTGCCCAGCCGGCTGGGGGAAGATGCCAAAATGGCGACCGGCAACTACTTTGGATTCACCCACAGCGGGGCGGCGGCGGCGGCGGCTGCGGCCCAGTATAGGTAACGGCTCCCCGCCCTCGCCCCTCTCTCCCCCTGCTCGCTCCTCCGCCCGGATCCCGACGCCACGACACCCCCACCCCGGCCCCCGCCTGGCGGCCCCGAGTCCCAGTTCGCGGCCAGCCCCGCGGCCTCTCCCGCCCCGCCTGGCTCACGGCGGGGAGCGACCCCCAGTGGGGGCGGGACGAGAGACGGAGAAGGTTTGGGGACGTGGAAGGCTGCCGGGGTTTCGGCGGCCCCGCAGCTAAAATGGCCTCCCGCGGCCTGGGAGCCCAGCCGCCTCCCCCGCCGGGCAAGCCGAGGGAGGGAACGGAGGCCGAGTCCCGGATCGCCCCCCAGTCGCCGCCCCCGCCCGCTCTGTCCCCACCTCTGATCTCCTTCCCACTTGGGCTTTGAGAAGGATGGGCGAAGGGAGTGCTGAGTCGCACGGCCCGCCGGCCTCTTCCGCGACCCCTCCCGTGCACCAGTCTTCGCCCGGTGCTGCGGCCCCCTGAGCCCAGATAACGTGTCGTTTTCTCGGGTACTTTTACTCCGTTCTGTGGCTTCCCCTGGCCTACTACCCGAGCCTTGCAAACAAACTGCGGGTGTCACTACAGTTATTGGGTTCCTTTAGTTTTCCCTCCACGGAGAGATGTAAACATACCAACCACCTGTGAATTGTGTAGTTGGTAGACTGGAAGAGATGTGCGAAGTTTTTAGTGCTGATAAATGAGTCCACAGCCCTGTTTAGCTATCGAGTTTAGATTTTAGATCGGCCAGTAACTCCCTTAGCGGGTCTTTCCCCTGGGGAAAAGAAAATGCAAGTGAGAGTGTACCGAGTTACGGTAATGCACCTTATGAAATCCCTACCTTAAGGAAAGCTCTAATTTCTGAAGTGGCTGTAGTTCGTTATCAAAAGGAAGAAAAACACTAGATTTTTTTTTGTTGCCGTTGTTACTTGTGAGTCAGTCTGTTCAGATTCAAGCCATAAGCATTCAGTGCTAAAGTGATGAGCTTGTCATAGAGATAATTATATTACATGCCTGTGTATATTCGCTAGTGGTTAAACCCAGGTAATTTTTCATCTCATTCACTTCAGGCATCGGGTTTTGTTATGGAAAGGGTATCATTGGGAATCAGAAGACCTGGGTTTTAGTCTCATTTGTTCTTCATTTTATTATGTTGGGAACGTCACTTATTTGTGATTTCATTTTCCTCGTCTGTTAATTGAAATACTCGGTTATCTTTTTGGGTCAAAATTTGTAAAACCGAGAAAGTTGCCATATTTCATGGCATTCTAAGATGCCTTTTATTGTAAGGGGTATCACTAAAAAAATTGCTACCAATTAAAATAAGACACAATGCGACTACCGCCATGCCATCCTAAACAAGTCCTATCCCGTCTGATCTCGGAAGCTAGGCAGGGTCCGACCTGGTTAGTACTTGGATGGGAGACCGCCTAGGAGGACCAGGTGCTGTAGGTGTAAAAAATAAAAAAAAGAGGATTGTAAGCTGACAAGGTCCTTGCAATCTGTGAAGTCAACCAAGGGTTGCCTCGCCTTAAAAAATTTTTTTAGAAATAAAAAAGTAAAATAAGACACAAGGCTTAGGACTCGATTGATTTTTAAGAGATGTTAAAATGTATAAATGTGCGTTTTATTGATGAAATTGGTATTTTACTAATTATCGAATTCCTTGAATGCATGTAGAATTTTTTTTTACAAGTTTCTTTTATTCTGAGGCTTATATTCCAGAAGATCTGAGATGACAAATAATGGGGACAAAATCTTTAACAAATTCTTTACTTACTGGTTGTCATGATTAAACACCTCAGAGTCTCAGCTACTTTGTCAAAACCTTTTAGGGCTAATAATTTTAGGGGAGAGAAAAAAATTAAGCCTTCCCCCCCACCCTTTGGGAAACAAGAGATAGCTAATCAGCATCTGTGTGGTAAATCCAGTGCTACCAAGTACTTTGTGTTCTAGACAGGCTGTATTTAACCATTAAAATTTTTACTTGTATTACCCAGTGTTTTTCTGTTACTATGGGCAGCGGCATAGCTTTTTGGATTATTAACTGTTTATTTACTGAAAATATAGTGAGTTCTTATTTACTGAAAATATAGTGGGTTCTTTGAGGCAGTTTTGAAATATTTTCTAAGGTGAATTTCCAGATAGATATGAGAGGAGGAAATGCCCATTTAAAGATAATAATTTTGTGATAAAATAGATGTATGTATTTTGTCCCAATTAGGAAACTTAAAGCATGTACTGACAACAGTCCAGTTATTGTTTTATGTATGCATGTCTAGTGAGAAAAGACTAATCTTGACCATTATTTATGCACGTACTGGCAAAACTAATTTAAGATGCTCTGCCCTTATATATAAATACGGTACATGGAAATTGTTTGCTCTTAATGGGAAGAAATCATGTCCAACAAAGCTAATACTTTGACTCAAGGAAAATGAACCAATAGCATTAATAATAAAAGCATATGCAAAAAATGCAAAGATGGTGCTCATTTTTCTTTGTCTAGAAATTCTTACAATGTAACTTTTAGACATGGAAGGCCAATGCTTACTTGGCAAAAAATATGTATATATTTTAATTTGAAGGATGCAAACTCAAGGAAATCATAAGTAGTTATATGTGCATGCTGTAAATAGTTGCTTAACTTGTCATTGAGTACAGATAATTGAAAGTAACTTAGTTATTACGTCTAGATTTAATTAGGGTTTAGTTTTCTTGGTTATGGCAATGTAAGATATTTGATTAAATTTATTTTAAGCTTAGACTTTATTGCTCGTTAATATTTGAAATTCATAAGTTCTGACACTAATAACTTCTAGATAAATTTACATAATGCATATTAAACATTTTTTGTGGTAAGCACTTATTCTGTCCTTATGTTACATGTTCCATCAGCTACTGAGAATTTTTCTTCCTGCTTTTTGTATTTTTTAAGGCAAGTAAATAAACTTATTATGCCATTTGCCACTCTTGCAAATGTAATCTTTTCATTTTCTGACCTTTCGTTTGCTGTTCCCCACCCTTAGAAATGAAGAAATCAAAAAAAATTTTTTAAGTATTTATATGTGTTCATATAGATCTGTTTCTGATAGAATGTTAATTCTGGGTGCACAGGACGAAACAAATCCCAAGCATGGTGAAAAAATAGGAATGGCTTTATGGCAGAAAGAGAACTTGGTTGGAACTTCAAGAGTACCTTTTATCTGAGAAGATAGACTTTTAGACAGATAAATCTAATTATAATAAACTTGGAAAATATTTTTAGCAGTTATAAGGACTTAGGGTAGCAAAGAATAAAAGGAAGGAATTCTCAAAAGAAATACTCTAATAGTTTCATAGACTCAAAATCACTCATTGGCAGTGATAGAGAAGTTGTCATTGGAGTTCTTGAGTTTTTGAAGGGGATTTGGGGCATATACAAATATATGTACATGTAATGTAAAGCAAAGAAATCCCATTACATTCCACTGTTAATAGGACATAACCATTTCTTCGAGAGTTTTAAACAGCCTGTTTTCTTTATTCATTAGAAAAGCGTTGGACATACTCTTTTGTCATCTATCTAGTCAGTTCTTTTGTCATCTATCTAGTCAAGATACTTGTCTGTTACCTGGGTAACCTAAATCTTTATCCTGTTATTAAACAAATTTTTTGGTCCTACATATAACTCTTAGTATCACTGATATCTGAAGTTACTCTACCTTCAGTATAGTTAGCTTTTTAAAATAATCATTTGGCAACTTTTTTACATTTTTATATCCAGTGTTTATTGAATTTGAAGACTTCAGAGAATGTATAAAGGTACAAAGTAATTACTTTATTTCCATATTCTTAGAGTCTTAGCAAATGTTAAATGATAAATGTTTAAGTGGATTTTGACTGTTTTCTGGACATTTGTTTAAATTATCTGCCAGTTAAAAGGGGGCATCTCATCTAATGATTCTCGAGATATCTTTAGGACAGTCTTCTTGAAGGATAAGTATCACTTCGTGTTGCTAAGATAACTTGGGTAGGCTGATTAGCTGGTGAATTTTCCACGTTTTCCCTTCCCTTTCTTTTTTACTTTTTATTTGAATGTAGTGTTAATATTATGTCTTGAAAGAATAAAAGTAACAGTAGTAAGGTAGAAAAAGGAATAATCACTGAGGTGAAAAAACCAGGTGAACGGGTTTTTGAAGCCAATAGTGGTCATGGAAATTTACTGGCTCTATAAAAAAAAAAAAGAAAAAAAATTACCACAACTGCTAATTATATTAGCTCTACCATTGTCGAATCAGAAATCTTAGGATTCATATTTCATGAATGAGTTTGAAATAATGAAAATATTCTTTCCAGAAGGATCGCTGCTGTTAATTGATATTCCCTGTATATGTTATCAATAGCTTTAAGAGTAGGGTGAGTCATAATAACCCCGTAGAGAATGTTTAAGGTATATGTATGCTTGACTGTACTTTTGTAAACTGTCTTACAAAATACTATTATGAAAGTGGCATGGGATTTGAATCCCAGCTCTGTCCCTTCATTCACTTGGCCAAGTTTCTTAACCTTTCTGAAGCTCAGTTTCCTCACCTAACTTGCCTTGAGGTGTGAAGATTATATGCAAAACTTCATAGCCTGGTGTCTTATTTTCAATAGACATTTACCACTGTTACTTTTCTGTAGAGATTTGGATAATACTATAACAGTTTTTAAAGAATTCCTTAGTTGATGTTTATCATACACTTACTATAGAGCTTTATAATCTCAAAGTACAATGTTTTAAAAGTAGGTGTTTGAGTGTTGGTAGGCCTCAGTCTCAGTGTCAAATAAGTCTTGTTTATATATAACCAATTATGTAAGTAGGAATAAAACTAATGAGATATGCAAAATGCTTTAAAGAAAAAATACTTTAGGATATAAAGACCATATAAGAAGACATACATACATACATACATACATACATACATACATACATACATAAGAGTTGTGTTCGTGGAGTGAAAAAAATCAGTG